ACCTTGCTCCCCAGAATTGCTATTTACTTACCCGAGTTGTTTTCAACCCGGGGTCAACAGACACCTCAAGGTCAGTCCCCAGGCTACCTCTGAAAAGTTGGCAAATCTAACAGAAAGGACACCCAGGCAACAGAAGCCACAAAGGACCTTCGTGTGTGCAACTTCTCGGGGAATCTTCCAGCACAGCTGTGGGGCTCAGAAATCAAAAGTCACTGAGTGAGCTGGTTAACAGCAGACAAACAAGTTTGCAGGAGTTTAACAGAAACATGGGTTTCTACCTTTAGCTACAGCTTTATTTTCTCACTCTGCCAGGCAATTCATCACTAGCAAAATTTTGATGAGAGCTGGAGGGAAAAGAAAAGAATTTACAATCCAAATTTCAGCAGCTGCCAGCATACTCATTCATATGAACCTCTGAGACCAACATTTCTTTGAAACTCTCTATATAAAAAGAGGGCTAAAGCAATTTGCTTGCAGAAAGAAGACGCTGCGAGAAGACAGATGCTGTTCCTCATTTTCAGCAATACTTTCACGTAATACCAAAATATTTGGCACAAAGCACCCGATTAAAGAAATGCCATTGCTGATGGCAGATGGTACTTCTCATCCCAATCTGTAGCAGCCTGCTAACGTTAGCGGTAATCTGATTGCAAACACACAGCGCGTGCATTTTTTCCAGATGAGCAAGCTTTACATAATTTTTCATTGCCCTTATTTTAGTTTGTTAACAAACATCATCGTTATGAGCAAACAGCCTGATTACAGTGTAAACAATTAAATCCCTTCTGCTCACTCCACCCTTCCAACCTTCCAGCACCTGGAAATGTCCTGCTATATCAGCAAAACAGCCTTCCCACCCCTCTTTGTACTACCTGCTTGTAACACCCAGTTTTAAGCTGCTCATACTATTGAGCTGGGGCGGGGGGGACCTTGAAAGAACCTGACTTAAGGCTAAAGTCATGCACTAAATTACAGCAAGACTTTCCCATTGTAAGAGGCTTGGGAAATACTTCAGGCAGTAAGTTGCTCACCTTTACTTTAGAACAAAATGAACTCAAATCACGTATCGATTTGCAGAGTACTTTTTCCCCAGGGGGAACTCACCGTAGATCCTGCTGTAAGTTTACTCAAGTGTAACTCTATGCAGCAAGAGCTATGAAAACAGGATTTTCTTCAAGGAAGTTGCACTTCTGTAGAACTCACTGAACAAAGCTATGTGCTTGCCCAACAGTGGCTGCTCGAGTTATGAAAGAGAGTTAGTTTAACAGAAAACAAGTGAATACATGTCCCACTGCCTTTCTCTTCCTCTTTGCTGGCTGAGGGACAGGATTCAGCGGAGGCTGAAGACGACTGATTTCCTAACTAAAATAGTGACAGGCTCACTCAAAGTTGAGACCATGTTAGCTCAGGGCATTAATGCTCCCTCAGGGCAGACATTTCAGAACCAGCCAGGTTTCCTAGAGCCATACCAAGGGGATTTGTAAAAACGATGCTACTAAAATCCCTTTTTTCCACTAATTCTCAGAGTCCTTCTCCCCAGTAAAAATTATAAAACAATGTCACAGATTTGCTTTTAAACAATGCTCCCCTTCGCCACCAGATTTGAATAGGCACCATTTGGATGCTTTGAACTGTTTTTCAGAGAAGCAAGACAGGCCAGCCTTCTTGACGCAGCGCCTAGCTTTTAACAAGCTTCCAAGAGCAAAATTAAGTGTGTTTTTCCTACGCTCTCAAGCACTGACAACATGCAGGTGCAACTTCTTCCAGCTGCCCAGTAACTGGAGCTAGAATTGAACAAGTCACATTATCTTGATTTCAACAGCCACCCATACACGTCCTCCAGCCATCTCCAGCCACCTGCGGCATTCTGAAACACTCCGCATCTGCTCTTGGTCCAGCTGAGTAAGTTACACAGCACTTGCAGTGAGGAGGCAGCAGAAGGCAATGATCATAGTCAAGGAACAGCAACAGGAAAGACGGGTCTGGGTCACAAAATCTGCATCTCTCACGATGGGCACCAGCTACGTTCCCTAAA